CAGCTCTTGGACCTCTTCAATTCTTCTATTTGCTTTAGCTTCTCTACACTGGAGAGCAAGTTTCAGAGTCTCCTCTGACATACATTTTGACCTTTTCCTTCTTTCTTGTCTTCTTAATGACTTTTTGCTCTCTTCATGTATGATGTTCTTGATGTCATCCCACAACTCTTCTGGTCTGCGGTCTTTAGTGTTTAATGCATCAAATCTATTCTTCAGATGATCTCTAAATTCAGGAGGGATAAATTCAAGGTCAAATTTTGGTTCTCGTAGACTTGTTTTCATTTTCTTCAGTTTCAGTTTGAATTTGCATATCAGTAATTGATGGTCTGTTCCACAGTCTGCCCCTGACATTAATAGATCTCAAAAATATCAAATTGAACAAAAAAGTAAGTCGTAAAATACTGCTTTTGTTGTTAAGTGATGTTGAGTTAGTTCCGAACCATAGTGACCCTCTATAGTGTTTCTGAGGAGCTGCCTGTGAATTTGAACTGCCAACCTTGTGGTTCAAGCTAACCCTGTGGTCCAGTCCTTATCCTACAGCTCATACCAGCACTTTTTATCCATAGAATATCCATAATCCATAGAATAATAGCTATAGTAAAAATTTTAAAACATGAAGAACGATAAGACTATATTATTATGTATCTAAAAGTGTAAAGAATACCACACCAAACCCCTTGAGTGTAGTTTTATTTGTAATGGCTTACTGCCATTCATTGGAAACCCTATATGGGGTCACTCTGAGTCGGAACTGACTCAACAACACTTAAAACAAGAACATATATGGTGTCAAGAACTCTTGGTGTCATAGTGGGTTAAATGTTGGAATGCTAACCGCAGGGTCAGCAGTTCAAACCCACCAGCCTCTCTTCAGGAAAAAGATGAGACTGTCTGCTCCTGTAACAATATGTAGTCTCACAAATCCTGTGGAGCAGATTTACTCTGCCCTATAAGGTTGCTGGAGTCCTGGTGTAGTGATACAGGATAATGTACTAGACCGCAAGGTTGGTGTGAACCGTAAGGTCAGCAGTTCAAACTCAACCAGCTGTTCCTCGGAAACCCTATACAGGGTCGCTATGAGTCAGAACCAACTAGATAGCACTTATCAATAACAAAATAGGGTTGCTGTGAGTTGGAATCCATGGCAGTGGATTTGGGTAGGTTATGTATGGTGTATGAGCCCTGATGTGGTACTATAGGATAAACACTGGACTGCTAACCTCCAAGTCAGACTGTTCAGACCTAACAGCCACTCTCATTATGAGTTGGAACCAACTCATTGGCACACAACAGTACAACATGCTGGCAGCTAGTTCTGGGTGAGGGTAACGGAATTTATTATATTTGTTATTGTTGTTGTTAAGTGCCATAGAGTCAGTTCCAACCCATAGCGACCCTGTATAGGGTTTCCGAGGAGCAGCTTGAACCGCCAACCTTGCAGTTCAAACGGCTTTTGCAGTCTGGTGCATTTACCCACAGTGTCACACCAGTAGTTTTCTGTATTTTTTTTTTTAAAGGAATCCTGCTGGTGCTGTGGGTTGGGCTAAGACTGCTAATTGCAAGGTTAGCTGTTCAAACCTACCAGCCCCTCCACAGTAGACAAATGAGGCTGCCTGATCCTCTAAAGATTTACAGTCTCAGACACCCTGTGGAGCAATCTGCTCGGTCCCGTAGTGCTGCTGTGAGTTGGAATTGACTCAATGGCAATGTGCTTGGTTTGGGTTTGGGGTACTTTTCAAATAAACTTTGCAAGCAAAATCATATAAAACAAAGCACTGCAGATTTTTACAACCAACCATAAAAATCCAAATTAGTAAATTCATTGATTTTTTCCCCCCCTTTTCAAACAGAAGCCACTTTATGACAAATACTTGATGAGTAAATCGAATACAGTGCAGTTTATACTTACTTATAAACTTTTGGTAGGTGTGACTTTCAGAGAGCTGTCTTGTTATGTGCTATCCAGTCAGTACCAACTCATGGGGACCCTGAATAAGGTTTGCAGGAGTGGCTGGTGGGTTTGAACTGTAGACCTTGTGGTAGCTTACCCTACAGCACCTCACTTGTTGTTGTTGTTAGGTGCCATTGAGATGATACCGACTCATAGCGACCATATGCGTAGAAGAACGAAATACTGCCTGATCCTGGGCAAACCTCATTGTTGTTGCTATGCTTATTCTGACATCTCCACCCATTGCCTTCCTTTTAGAACAAAATGTGCATGTCTTCAGCTGACTGCAAGGAATGCTAAGACTTGTCCCTTGTCAAGTAATACAATAACCACTGGATATAAATATAAAAGACTACAGAGACGTGTACCTACTGGGTAAGATTCCTTCAGGATTTGTTGCAGGTTGTTTGTATCTTTGAAGGTAGGTATTTTTTCATTGTGGCCTATAGTCATGTAGATGTTGTCAAATCACAGTTTATAATACCAAAAATCTAAATTATTTATGGATTTTAAAACACTGTATATTTTTCTTGGAAATGGAGATCAAGACTACACATAGCATACAGAACATACTTGAACACTCTGCTTTGAGTCTAAATGCCAGGCATAGTCTCAAGCACTTTGTAAGCACTTCCTTATTTAATCTTTACAGAACAACCCTATGAAGTACATACTCCATGTAATCCCCATTTTTAAGTGGGAAATTAAAGCATGGAAAGGTTAAGTAGCTCATTCGAGGTCACACAACTAAATGCTGGAGCTATGAGGGAACCCAGGCAGTCTGGCTGTAGGAACCTTCCTACTTCCTCTGTGTCTCTTAGTGACTATCAGTGCCTGTGAAGTAGCAATGCAAATTGTTTTTGCTTTAATTGAGGTTATCTGATTGATTTTCTCTTTTGTATATTTTACCGACAGCATTTATGAGTGCAGCCTGTTGTGCAAATGTAATCGACAGATGTGTCAGAATCGAGTTGTTCAGCATGGTCCACAAGTGAGGCTGCAGGTGTTCAAAACTGAGAAGAAGGGCTGGGGGGTTCGCTGCCTGGATGACATTGACAGAGGGACATTTATTTGCATTTACTCAGGTAAGACAAATTCGCAAGTTATTTTCTAGTAGGATCGACATATCTGTATCCCCCTTTTGCCAGTCAGGCCATTGAAATCTTGTAGCAAGGACAAGAGCAACAAGGTCAGTGATACCAGGAAGACAAGGGACTAGGAATTTGAGCACTGACAGATGGTCCAGAAAAGAAAGGTTTAGAGAGAAAAACTGGATTGTTACATGAGGGCTTGGTAAAGTACAAGGGTAAGGGAAGATTTTCTAAATAAGACTGCTAAATAACTGATTTGCCAAGGGAAAAATCACCAGTCATCGGACTATCTTGTTGAATGTTTCTAGTTGTGATTAGAATTTTAAAAGTTAATTTTGTTAGTAATGCCTGTGGTTCAGGTAGTGACAGGCAACAACTCACTCCATTTCAGGAACTCCAGAAAGTCTGCTGTCAAGCAGAGCTCCCTAGCCAGTGTTTTGGAATCATGTGGTTAGTGCTGCGTTCAGGCCAAAGCCCACAGGTGTGACGTGTCAGACTCCAGCAGTCTCATTCAATTATGAGAGTGCCACACAAAAATTCTCATTGCCTGTGTGTGCCAGCTTGGGAACCATGGCTCTAGAGCGAGTCATAAAGAAATAGCCTATACTGTGTCTGAGCAGCTAGGCAACACAATCCGTGCAATCCTCATCTTAAATTCTAGGTTCATTTCTGTGAGGGCATGAAGTAGTCAGAATTCAGAGTAGTAACACTTGACTCCTCCCTTCCTCATAACATGTGTTCCTGTTGTTGGGTGCTGTCAGGTTGCTTCCAACTCACAGTGACATCATGCGACAGTAGAACTGTCCCGTAGATTTCTCTTGGCTGTAAACTTTGTGGAAACAGATGGCCATGTCTTTCCACTGCAGAGTGGCTGAGGGGATTTGATCTGACAACCATTTGGTTAGCAGCCAAGCGTTTAACCATTTATGTCACCAGGGCTCCTTATATAACACTTCTAGACACATATACTCCACAACCTACTAGACATCTCGTATTTCTCAAAATAACTCTTGTTTGAAAACAGCTGCCTATAAAATGCCAGAAACTACCCATGAAGAAACTACCTGCATTGCTTAAAAATGCACTGGATATATCTCTGCTCTAAGGTCATATGAGAATATCCAGCTGCTAATTTTGACTTGGTAACTCATTTTGAGTCCCTTGAAAGAAAATGCATAAACTTTGACAAAAATGTTAATGTTGGTCTAGGACTATTTATGAGAGCAAAAGTCACATAGCACCACAAATTTTAACAGATTTCTTTTAAAGAATATATAGGTTTCTATGATAAAGCATTTTTAACTAAACACAAAATCTGCATTTTAAAGTTCATTCCTCTAGTTATCGAGTATACTTTCTGATCCATACTTTTGTTTCATGTATTATAGATAAATGTTTCATGTAGTACCAAAACAGACAAATGCTTCTATTAGATGCCTTGTATTTTTTCATATGGAAAAACATGAACTAAATCCCTCATTCATCTTTTTTTTTTTTTTTTAATGTTTTATTGTGAATTATGTTCTTTCCACGTCATCATCTCTGCCTCCATCTCTACTGTCACTGTTTCTCTGAGTAGGGTCCCATGCTCTGCTCTTCTCCCTTGATGGTCCCAGGGACCTCCACTCTTAGACTACAAAGTCAGACACTTCCCTCTTTTTGCTACAAAACATCTACCTGTACAATTCCAACCCTCACAGTCAGTCCTGATAGCAATTATCCACTATTGTGCCACATGAGTGCTATCCCCATCTCCTTTCATCAGTCCATTTATTGTTTCTTGCAACACTTTTATGTTGTTGTTGTATGTAGTTGTTGTTGTTAGATGCCATCGAGTCAGTACCGACCCATAGTGACCTTATGCACAGCAGAACAAAACACTGCTCAATCCTGGGCCCACCTCACTACTGTTGCCACACTTGAGTCCACTGGTGCTGCCACTTGGACAGTCCTTCTTCTCATTGGGGGTCTTACTCTTTTTCTCTGACCCTCTACCTTACCAAACATGATATCCTTCTCCAGCGACTGCTCCCTCCTGACAATATGTCCAAAGTATGAGAGACGAAGTTTGGCCACCTTGGCCTCTAAGGAGCACTCTGGCTGCACTTCTTCCAAAATGGATCTATTTGTTCTTTTGGCAGCCCATGCTACTTTCAATATTCTCCTCCAACACCATAACTCAAAAGCATCAATTCTTCTACAGTCTTCTTTATTCACTGTCCAGCTTTCGAATGCATATAAGGTTATTGAAAGTATCATGACTTGGGTCAGATGCACCTTAGTCCTCAAGCTGGCATCTTTGCTCTTCAACACTTTAAAAGGTCTTGTGCAACAGATTTGCCTAATGCAATACGTCGTTTGATCTCTTGACTGCTGCTTCTGTGAGTGTTGATAGTTGATCCAAGAAAAATGAAGTCCTTGACAATTTCAATCTTGTCTTCGTTGATAAGAATGTTGTTTATTGGTCCAGTGGTGAGGATTTTTGTTCTCTTTATGTTGAGATGTAATCCATACCAAAGGTTGTGCTCTTTGATCTTCATCAGTAACTGTTTTAAGTCCTCTTCACTTTCAGCAAGCAAGGTTGTATCATCTGCATATCGCAGGTTGTTAATGAGTCTTCCTCCAATCCTGATGCCACGTTTTTCTTCATAGAACCCAGCTTCTCAGATTGCTTGCTCAGCATACAAGATGAATAAGTATGATGAAAGAATACAACCTTGTCACACACCTTTCTTAATTTTAAAACATTCATTGTTCCCATGTTGTGTTTGAACAACTGCGTCTTGGTCCAGGTACAGATTCCTCATGAGCACAATTAAGTGTTCCAGAATACTCATACTTCACAATGTTGTCCATAGCGTGTCATGATCCACACAATCAAAAGCCTTTGCGTTGTCAATAAAGCACAGGTAAACATCTTTCTGTTCTTCTCTGCTTTCAGCCAAGATCCATCAGACATCAGCAATGATATCCCTCTTTTGTAGAATGCATTAATATGTTTATGTTCATTCTAGAAATATGGTACACAATACTGGGTCCTGTAGTTATAGAGCAGAAATAGAGATGTCTGTTTGCTGCTTATAATTATATTTTGTTCAGACTTGTACTATTTTCTTTTAGGAAGATTACTAATTAGAGCTAACACTGAGAAACCTGGTGCTGTTGATGAAAATGGGAAAGAAGAGGATACTATGGAAAACATAATTTCAAAAAAGAGGAAAATGGCAGTTCCATGTTCAGATTGTGAGGTTGAAGTTATCCCATTTGAACTGGAAAAACATGCTGGAAGGACTGAGGCTGAGGAGTATCCACCTAAGCTCAGTCCAGAATCCAAAGATCCTGTTACGTAAGTAAGAATTCAATCAAGGTTGATCTAGATTTTTAGTGATCAAAAGTGGTTTTTCCTTTCTTTTTTTAATCTCTCCCATCTCACTCTTATAGATCATCTTACTTCAGAAATGATATATAAAATATTCTAAAATGCTTAGATTTAAAAATCTAGCCATCATATTTTATGTCCTTAGTTTTCCATTCCTGAAGAGGTTTACCTTGCATGACTTTAAACAGTTTCTGTATGGATAGTTAGAATTTTTGTTATTCTTTATATTTTCTGTCACCTTTTCACTTATAAACCTTTCATAAGCTTCCTTCATTTTTTTACGCATTTCAAAACTGGTTTTGATTCTATTTATCCAGTGAGAGATAGGCATAAATGTTGCTTACGTAGACTAATTTCTAATGATAATAAGTATTTATGTAACAATTTTATCTACTTTTCAAGGTTCAAAAAAGAGAATTATTAGTGATATAAAGAATAATGTTTTTTTTTTCCTTTCCAGGGAAATGAAGTATAACAATATTTCAAGAATTCAGTATTATCCTGCCATTAGAAATCCTGAAAACAAGACAGCCATATTTCAAGACAATGGGAAAATGATGGTAAAAACTGAAAATGTAGATTGGGCCCTCTAAGAATATTAATTATTAATGCCCTCTAAGAATATTAATTATTAAATATTAATATTAATAATTAATAATTTTCTACCTAGTTCATATTGTTTGTGCTACTTAGTAATGTATACATAGTATTTCTTTTATTGTTGTTGAAGTATTGGGACTGTATTTTATTTACTTGTTATCCCCCCTTGGCAATTGGCATGTTCTCAACTTAATATATGAGGTGTATATTAGTCCTAACTTGCTAATGGACTCCATTGAGACTGAGAGGCATCTGGTTCTGAGACCTTATAGAAGTTCAAGACTTAATGGTGATATAAAGAAAAGGAATGGAGGAATCTATGTCAAGGAGAAGATTTTGAGATATAGGTAAAAGAAGAGATGCAGCCAACAAAAGAATCATCTAGAAAGTGACATTTTACAAGATGCACATTCTGAACTAAGAAGGCTAGTCAGACCCTGAAATTTTCAAGAAAAAAGGATATAGGAAAAAGAACAGAAACTGATTCACATAGGGCTTGTTGAAAACAAAAGCTTGCTCTAGGTGCAAAATATTGCCCTCTGCCCAGTAACAGTATGGTAGGTACTTCCTCAGTATCAAATAATGATGAAAAGATTGAGTCATAGGGTCACAGAGACCTAGGTTTGACCTCTAGTTCTTCCCACCATTCAGATGACGTCTCTATGCTTATTTTTCTTTGACATTAAAATGAAGGCAATTCTATCTCAGACTTATGAGGATTGAATGAAATAAACATCATAAAGTTTATTGAACACCTGACTAAATGCTCAGTAATTATTGATCATTCCTGAATAATAATAGTGGTCAACATTTACTCCACAATTAATTGGTGTCTAACATGTTAAGTATAAACCCCTCCTGAAGTTATAACCATTTAAAGTGATTGCAATGTCAACAACTATAACAACAGGCAGCTTCTTTAGCCAGTCAAGTAGAAACTAGCCAAGGAATGTTTTTATCTTTGTACATCTTAGTTGAAGACAAACTTATAATCTGGTACCAATGCTTTGTCAGTAAGCCCACCCACTGCCATCAAGTCACTACCGACTGTTAGTAGTGTAGTGGTGGTGGTGGTGTGCCATGGAGTCGGTTCCGAGTCATAGTGACCCTGTATAGGATTTCCAAGGCTGTAAATCTTTATGGAAGCAGAAAGCCTCATCTTGCAGCCTGTATATAGAATAGAGGAGAACTGTCCCATGGGGTTTCCAAGGCTGTAATCTTCTTGATGGAAACAGACTGCCACATCTTTTTCCCATAGAGTGGTTGGTGGTTTCAAACCACCAATCTTTTGGGTAGCAGCAGAGTCACCAGGGCTCCTGACTTTCTCAGTACTGAGGATAATTAGAATCGAGGGATACAAACATTTTATTTCTAAAACAGTTCTTAAATCTTTGTAACTATGGCATGATAAAGTCCCTAGAAATACACTTGTAGACCACAGCCAAAAGAAGCTTATACATGTTTGCTCAATTAATGCAAAGACTCAAATGACATCAGCTTTGAGACTTTTCAAGATAATTTAGCACCTACAGCCTATGAAGATTTAAACTTGATTAAAGAGGTCTAAATGCTGAATAATTTTCCTGATCTAAAAATTCAATATACCTTTGTTTTCTTTTAAGGGACTTGCCTCTTCAGAGACTGTTGCCTCCGAATTTGAGCCAACCGTAGTACATCTGGACTCTAAAGCCAAGAAAACAAAAAGTAGGCATTATTTCAATCTATAATTCAGCCACCTCTGTATTCTGCCTTTGTGTACCTTTCTTGCTCAGTACTTTTCACTCATTTTCACAGACTCAGTAATAAACAAGCTGCATGAAGGTTACAACTTGTCTAAATCAGAAGTTGGCAAACTGGGGTTTGCAGAGCAAATCCAACTTTTTGTTTAGGATGGCACAAGAGTTTACAATGATTATAGTATTTTTAAATGGTTAGAGTAAAACAGAAGCATTGCATTTCATGAGACTTGAAAACTATTTGAAATTACAATAAAGGTATTATGAAAAAAAACAGCCACACATTCATTTACATATTGGCTTGATTGCTTCCAGACTTCAACAGCAAAGTTGAATTTTTGCAGCAGAGATCATGTGGCTGCAAATATGTACTTTACAGAAACAATTTTCTGACTACAAGTCTAGATGCCAGCAGTGAGCTGATACATGTGATGCATGGGAGGATGGGGCAGGTTAGATGACTCATGATTCTACAGAGTCCATGGATGTTACCTCTGACTTTAGAACTACACTGTCCAAACAAGCCATTTTCCAACTCTATTGGGCTCCTCTAAAAATGAAGACACCTGGCTCTCCTTCTGAGAGCATGCTGAACTGTTGCTGCCCTCAGTACTCATCTTTCAGAGTTACCAGTCCCTGTTACTCCACAGTTAATATTGGTACTTTTGATTTCAATATATCCCTAAGCAGGGAGACAGACATTGCTGAGAGATGTCCCTTTTAGAGGAACTGCCTCTTCTCCTTTTGAGTCCTCTTGCATCTGTAACCCCAGATACCCACATGGTCTTAAAGGGTGGGGACTTGGGGAAATAGGACAGTTCCTGGATAGAAAAGGTCTGTAAAGAAAGCATGTCTTATGTACAAGCTTGTATTATTATTTTACCATTTAATACATGTGGGCTCACTAATAAAGACTATTATTGTTTTTGGTTCTTTTGCCATTTTCAGTGCTTGCTACAATATATAGTGCAGGCAATGCAAAAATCCTAATTATATATTTTTATGCCTCACAAGTAACCCAGGATTTTTAAAATATCAGTACATTTAGGAACACTAACCAGCAACTGTAATGATGACATCATGAGCATTCATTTTAGAGAAACATAATTTCTTTGTGCCACTGAGTTAGTTGACACAAGATGGCTTTTTGTAAATAAATAGGTGATTTTATTTATTCCATAAGATACACATCCATACTGTTGAATAAAGTCTCAAAAAAGTATTTCCCTTATTGGGTATGAAAAGTGATTATTCTATTTCCAAAGCTTAATTGATAATTAAATTGTAATTGTTTGATCTTTAGCAGTAACACCAAACTCTAGCATGTAATGTACATAATCCACAGTACTACAGTTGTTGCTGGTGGAACTTGGAAAGCGGGACTGTGACAGGATTTTATCAATCCTCTCAATGAGGTCTTGCAGGCCTAGAGTACCTCCTGAGTACCTATTATATTACAGCTGTTTAGAATATACTTAAGTGCAGATTGTAAAATTGAAGAAAGAAGAAAGTCATTTTGTTGAGAGTAGAGGTTAGACATATTAACAAGGAAGCAACATGTAGGTTCATAAAAAGGCACAGTGATACAGTTGAAAGAAGGCAGGTTTTAGAGCCAAACTTTTCTGGGTTGGTTATTACAATTCTCACTATTGTGGGTCAAGTGATCCCTTAACCCCTCAGAGTGTTAGGGTTTTTATTTGCAATATTAGGGTTTTATTACCTACCTTAACACATTATTGTCATTGTTGTTGTTAAGTGCCATCGAGTCCATGCCGACCCATAGTGACCCTGTATAGGGTTTCCAAGAAGCAGCTGGTGAGCTTGAACCACTGACTTTGCAGTTCAAACAACTTAGCAGTCTGACGCATTTAGCCCACAGCGCCACACCGGGACTCCAACACATTATTAGGATTATCAATAAAACAACATTTAATTAATTAATCATGTTACTTTCAATGTTATTGTTCCACGAAATGTATTTCCTGACAATTCCTTCCAAAATTTCTATTAGAGGGCTCAACCTCAGACCAACTTGAACATTCTGAAAACAGTCTGCTGATAGAATCAGATGTCATTGATATAACTAAATGTAAAGAAACTCCACCCAAGATTATGTGTAACCAAGCAACTACATTGGATAATCAGAAGATAATAAAGGAATTTGAGGTTCAAACACAGAAGCCCCAAGAAAAATCCCCAGCATCTCAAAGTCAGCAGTTCTTTTGTGATGCAGGATTGCCAAGTGAAACCAAATATATTTCACCTGATGATCCAAGAAAGTTCAATGAAGGGAGTCTGTTTTTATTGGATGCCACAAAAGAAGGAAATGTGGGCCGCTTCCTTAACGTGAGTATCTGTGGTGAGATTGCTATTTCTAAATTGTTTTTCTGTGCTTCTTAGCAAAATCATGACAAAAATATGATTGCCAGACTCTGAAGTCAGACTGCCAGGATTCGAATTATTCCTCTTTGCAAGTTAGGATAATTAATTAATATAGAATCCTCTCACTCAGTGGTATGGCGCTGTAAGATGAACACTAGACTGAAAGGTTGATTTGAACCAAAAGGTCATTGGTTCAAACTCAGCAGCCCCTCCTCGGAAACCCTGTACAGGGTCGCTATGAGTTGGAACCCACTAAGTGGCACTTAACAACAACAACAACACTGCACTGGTTTGGTGCTGTATGATAAGCACTGTAATGCTAACCTCAGGGTCAGTGGTTCCAACTCAGCAGCCAGTCCTTGAAAACCCTATAAAGGGTCGCATGAGTTGGAACTTACTCTTACTCGATAGCACTTACCAACAACAACATTGTCCTTTGACTATTGTGCTACTTTCTGTAAAGAGAACACAACAGGAAGCTGTTAAGGAGGTCCAGAACAAAGGATCATTGTGGCTTTGTTTCCAGTTATGGTGAATGGTGGCTGCACGAAGAGCACCTTAAGTCTGGTTTGACTTCTCCTAATCCACAAATCCACACACCACCTGGATCCCTCCCTCGTTAATCAAGAAAAACCAGACCTTTGCTTTGCTTTACTTGCTTGCTTTTTGTTTTTTACTGTTGTTATTTTTCTGCATAGGTAATATATTCTACATAGATAATATTTATATGGTTAAAAAATTAAAATGAAATAGTAAGTCTTATCTTGAGAAATACTGGGCCCCCATTTGCCTTACCTCCACTGTACCCTTTATAGGTAATTTTTATTTCTTGATTATTTTTCAGTGTTTCTTAATGCAAATATAAGTAAGTATAAATATATGTTCTTACCGCTATGGGTCAGAACTGACTCGATGGCACTTAACAACAACAACATTATCACCCTTAATTACAAAAAAGGTGGCTTCAAGTCACTGTTCCATACCTTGCTTTTTATGTTAACAATATATACCGGAGATGTTTCCATATCAGTACACAGAGAACGCTCCTCATTCATTTTGTTTGTATGCTTTGGGTTATAACTGCGTAAATGTCACTGAGTGGATATGCCAAGGTATATTTAACCAATTTTCTGTATATGCACATATAAGTTGTTTCTAAACTTTTAATAAACACAGTACTCAATGAATAATCTTCTACATAGTTTATTTTACATGTGGAAATATATCTGTGGGGTACATTCTTAGCAGTGGGATTGATGAATCAAAGAATAAATACATTTATTATGAGGGGGAGTTGTACTATTTTGCATTTATACCGATAAAAATAAATTGTTGTTAGTGCCGTCAAGTTGGCTTTGATGCATAGCAACCCTGTGTAGGTTTTCCAAAGCTGTTAATCTTTATGGGAGCAGAACGCCTTATCTTTCTCCCATGGATCAGCTGGTGGGCTTGAATGACCAGCCTTGTGGCTGGAAGTCCAGTGCTTACCCTGGAGAGCCACTAAGCTCCCAACCAGCAAAATATGCGTGTCAAAATAGGGCTTTTCTGAATTGATTATAGCTTATTAAAATTATTGGCATGAGCTATGATATTTTCTGTGTAAACAATGAGGTGTGTTAGAATAGTATTCTGATGCTTAACACACAAGGCATCAAACATTATTATATCTAACCTCTGTGTCTTTTTTCTCTTCTTTTTTTTAACAGCATAGTTGTTGCCCGAATCTCATGGTACAGAATGTCTTTGTAGAAACACATGATAGGAATTTTCCATTGGTGGCATTTTTCACCAGCAGGTTTGAAATTTACTGTGCTTACATGTTTGAATTTAGAAATGGTCACTTTAAAAATAACAGTAGCAACTTTTTTTTCTATACTGGAGCCCTGGTGGCATAGTGGGTTATGCAGTGAACTGTTAACCGCAGGGTCTGTGGTGTGACTCCACCAGTTACTCCATAGAGAAAAGGTGAGACTTTCTACTCCTGTAAAAATTTACAGCCTCAGAAACCCGATACAGGGTTGCTGTGAGTCAGAACCAACCTAATAGCATACAACAACAACAACAATAGAACATAAAAAGGAGATAAATTCCATTATTCCAGAATTTCTTGTGCTCTAGATTATTTAGTTATCTCCTATACTGTTCTTAAAAGGAGCTTCCCATAAAGATTTACAGCCTCGGAAACCCTGTACACGGTCACTATGAGTCGGAACCGACTCTACGGCACATAACAACAACAACATACTGTTCTTAGTCAAAATTTGAACAGCTGAAATTTTATAAGACAACACTCAAGTGTTGGTTAGGTGTAGGACTCACTCTGACATAATATGGCCTCATCAACATAAAAAAAAAACAAAAAAAACGAAAAAGGTCATATCAGCAGGTACATTGTTATTGCTAAGTGCCATTGAGTCAGTTCTGACTCATAGTGACCCTGTATACGGTTTCTAAGAAGGGACTGGCGGATTTGAACCACTGACTTTGCAGTCCAGTGCTTATTCTATAGCACCACAACAGGAGGGGTATTTTCAAAAAAAAAAAAACCAACTCCCTGTCATTGAGTAAATGTATAGGGTTTACAAGGCCGTAAATCTTTACAGGAACAGAAAGCCTCATCTTTTTCCCGAGCAGCAGCTGGTGAGTTTGAACTGTCAACTTTGTGATTACAGTCCAGTGTTTATCCTATAGTGCCACCTGGGTTCTTTATACATTGGAAATAAAATGCAAGTGATTGTTATTAATGCAAGATCTGCCCTAAGGGATAGGGGGACTCTGGTGTGGTGCTGTAGGATAAGCACTGGAGTGTTAACTACAAGGTTGATGGTTCAAATCTACCAGCTGCTCCTTGGAAATCCTATACAGGGTTCCTATGAGTTGGAACAGACTTGAAAGCACTTAACAATAAAAAGGGATGGGGATGGTGGAAAGAATAGATCGTAGTTTTGAGAATGGTTAATGATGTTAATGTAAAACTTGATATAATCGAGTGTGGTTCATTTGTTCATGGTGATTTATGTTTTGTTTTAATTTTGATTTCTTCTTTCTAGGTATGTGAAAGCAAGAACAGAACTAACATGGGATTATGGTTATGAAGCTGGGAGAATGCCTGAAAAGGAAATCCTCTGTCAATGTGGGGCTAATAAGTGTAAGAAAAAAATATTATAAATATGTAGCTAATGCCTGTTCATGAAATTTGTTTATGGAGCTTAAATTAGATCCATGTAAAAGAATCCTTAGTTATGGAATCTGAATTCATCTTCAGGAGGTCCATATTTTATTTCTGATTTCATTTGTATGACTTGGAAATGCTTGAAACAAAATAAGGAAATTTTCATACTTATAGCATCTCTTTATTCTTATTCAACTTTATACAGGTAGAATGGAAGTGTATATTGGAAATTCACTGTATCATTTGTAACTTATTTGTAAATTGTGTATATTAAGAGAAAGGTCACAATTAAATTCAGCTGTTTCTAATTGTTTCTTTGTGGTCATTATTCTTTCATTCATGCCCCAAACCAAGCCCACTGTCATTGGGTCGACTGTAACTCATAATGACCCTGATGGACAAATTAGAACCGCCCTATGTAGGGTTTTCTAAGATTGTAAATCTTGATGAACGCAGACTGCCATGTCTTTCTCTCACAGACCAACTAGTGGGTTCGAGCCATCATCCGTTGTGGTGAACATCTGAGCACTTTAATCACTGTATTCATGCCCCAAAGAATCACATTTCACCTATAAAATTTATGTTTAATTCCCAGCAAACCATTTACCATCATGAGACTCGTGTTGTTTTCAGGTCAATTTTAGCTAAGCAAATAAGTCTTCATAATAATGTCCACTTGCTTATTGTTCTAATTTATGTTTATCACCATATATTGATCTTCATTGCTTTCAAACCTGCTTTTATCCCTTTCATCTCCTTTTACATTTAACTTTATTTATGTAATCATTCCCAGTCTGAATCCTTTTGTGATGCTTTTTAAACTGTACCAGTATTCTTGCACTCGTTTTCTGTGGTAGTTTACACAAAGACCTTTATGTGGTCACTGGTTTAAAAGCAGACCCTATCTATCACGTAACTGCATTAAAGAAATAGAAAATAAAGAAGTGCCTTGTAGAGTAAAAACATGGAAAACTGGACGAAACAGATTCAGAGAACGGTCCAGGAACTCCGAACTTCAGATAAAGGGATAAATAACTGGATCAGGTGCTTACCAGGAGTAAGATGTGGAGCAGAAGCAAAGAATGGGGGGTGACTTCTGATTTGGGGCAGCCAATGTGTCCCACCACAAATATTTTGAATGGGAGAGAGCGGATGGAGAGTCAAGCGAGCACTACCATTTGCAGAAACCTGACAGATATGCAGATAAAGGTGCGAACGGTTTTTTTTATTACTCCTTTTTCATTCTTTTCTTTTCCTCTACCTACTCATCTCTGCTCTGGGGAGCAGAGGGGAGACCTGTAGGAGTAGACACCCCCCATGTAAGGTTCTGCTACACACGTGGAAGGATCTGCACAGTACGGATCCCTGGGTGCAAAATTAAAGGGGGGATCCCCTTCAGGAGAACCAGCAACAGGAGTCTCTTCCAAAGTGGGTCTGACCATTCCTAGGCTGGTTCTCATTAGGAGGAACAGCTGAACGGCCTTGAAGGGAGGCGAAAACAAAACAAAAATCTTGTGTTACATGACTGACACACAGTGGAAACATCTTGAAATTTTCTAGGTGGCTTTGAAGGTAAGGACCATTGTTGTTGTTAAGTACCATCGAGTCAGTTCTGACCCATAGCGATCCTCTATAGGGTTTCCGAGGAGTGGCTGGTGAACCTGAACTCCAACTTTGCTGTTCAAACTGACTTTGCAGACCAGCACATTAACCCACAGTGCCACACCAGAATTCCAATTAGGTAGCACAAAAGTCTTACTCTATTTTCCCTTTTTTTTTTTTTTTTTCGCCTGGGTTTTTATGACTATAGACTCTTGTTTTTATCTTGGAAGAGCTCTTTCTCTTCTTGCTCACCAAGAGACAGCAATTGCAGCCATACAGTCAAGCTACAGTTGTACCCTCTAAAACCCTATCAATTGGTCAAGAGCCAATTAAAAACACTGAATTGAATTGTGTTGTTAAATGCCTTCGAGTCAGTTTCGACTCAGTGACTCTGTATAGGGTTTCCGTGGAGCAGCTGGTGTGCTTGAACTGCCAACCTTATGGTTCAAACCAACTTTACACAGTCTAGTGCATTAACCCGTAAGAGAAGCCCATCTTCTGATCACACCTACCAGGAGGTTATCAGAGAGTGCTTAATACTACACCAATATGTTCTTGTTAGGGAGGTCTTTGGATTGAGAACAGAATGGGGCAGTGTTACTCATGAAAACAGACCTAAATATCCTCAAATACAAACAAATAGAATCTATCAGCGTATAAAAAAGATACTATTATCATGACCAAGATAGTGTTATATCAGGAATACAAGGTTAGTTTCACAAGGTTAGGTAATGAACAGCTTAGGTTTTGAGTATTTCCAAATCCTGGTGTGGCGCTACAGGTTAATGCGTTGGCCTGCAAACTCAGTTTGAACTACAAGATTGGCGGTTCAAGCTTACTGCTGCTTCTAAGAAACTCTTTCCAGGGTCTCTGGGTCGACAACCAACTCAACGGCACTTCACAACAACAAATCCATTTATACAAAGAGCAACTAGTATAGCAAAAGAGAAAACCCACTGTCTTCAACAAAACTGATAGCAAGATAGCTCCAAAACCCAGAATATGAGTGGTTGGGGCCAACTCACCAACAGCAGGATCCACGCAAGATTGTTGGGTATATAGCAACTGTGTGGAGACAGCAGCAGAAGAAAACAGGGACTTTTCAGGGTCTTATGAACTAAAACATAGTATTTTTTTTCTTAAATGTTTTATTGTGAATTATGTGATAGTTTACATGAGAGAACATTAGTTTTACATTCATTCCATCGTACATCGTCTCATTGCCATGGTTACAATCCCCTCCATGCAATCCTTCCCCATATCCCCCAGGCCTTCAGCACACAGTCGCTCTCCCTCTCTGGATCTAGAGTCTCCAGCTGCTCCATCGCTCCACATCATCCTCTCTGGCTCCATTTCAAGCATCACTGCTTCTCTGGGTAGGGTCCCGCTCTCTGCTCTTCTCCCTTGATGGTCCTAGGCACCTCCACTCCTAGACTGAAAAATTAATCACTCCCCTCCTTGCTATAAAACGTCTATCTTTACATTTACGAGCCTCACAATCAGTCCTGATAACGATTATTCACCATTGTATCACAAAAGACCCATCTGCATTTCATTGCATCAGCCCCACCTAGTCAGATTGAATACTACTCATTGGAGAGTCTCCCTTCCTCCAGGCCCTCTGCGTGTAGGTTCCCTTTTGAAAGCTTGTAAGCCAATCACTTCTTGCCTTTGTAGCTCCCCGCCCCTATTTTGGGTAGCCAATGTCCAAGTTGCCCAACCCTGTCTACTCTGTGTGTGGAGGGGGTGGAAATGATTCTTGCTGTAAGGACTTGTTCCCTCTTTTGAGCTACTGCTCCCATAAGTGTAGGTCAAGTTCATCAAATTGTATGAGATTTTTTTTTTTTTTCCTCTTTTTACTTTTGGTTGAGCTCCGATCATCCAGTCATCGAAGCCAGGGAGCCAGGGCAAGTAGGTATTATCTGCAAGTGTGGGTGTTCTTATGAATATGCCCTCTCTTCTTATCAGCTGGACGCTTCACTCTCCACTCTAGTCCTCTGTGGCTATGTCACTGACTCTGGGGGCTGGGAATGATTCTTGCTGTAAGGACTGGTTCCCTCTTCTGAGCTACTGCTTCCATAGGTGTAGGTCAAGTTCCTCAAATTGTATGAGAATACTTTTTTTTTTTTTTTTTTTTGCCTCTTCTTTTTACTTCTGGTTGAGCTCTGATCATC